ATTACTAATATAAATACTCCAATAATTGAATAATTAGTACAGCCAATCAGAAGTGGCGGGGGAAATTAGTAAATCCATGATTTTAGTAGTACAATAAGATTTTGAACTACCCCCAAAAATTCTGCAAAACGTGACCACGAGCCAATCACAGTTGAGGATCAAGTGTAACGTAACACGATCCAAAAAATTAAAAGCAACTATATAGTTTGGAACCGATTTTATTTTTCATATATTAAAACCGAATAAACCCGGTTTTAACATATGAAAAATAAAACCGGTTCCAAACTCTAAAAACAACCGCCAAAAATCGAAAATCTGCATAGGAAACCATCCTTAGTGTTCTGAGCGATTTTATTATATATTACATCAACAACGAACACTCTAACCCCAATATTAACAACCTTTTAAGAGTTTTATTATCGCGGAGGTGTTCTTGGAGTAGTTGATCATACCCACGTAACCCGATAATAAGCAGTAGACCTGAATTCAAGAGAAAATGAAGTAACGCTATCAGTATCGAGTCAATATCTAAAGGGAAATATAGCAACAAAAGTAAAGAAGATACTTATCGAAGGCATAGTAGTAAACCGCAAGGCCTAAAGTCTCCAAACTCAGACCACACCTCGATCGAAGCCTACCAATTCGGGATTTTAGGCCTTGTTCGATATAGCTTTAGTGGTGTTGTGTGATATATTGTGTGATTTAGTTGTATTGGAGCCGGGTTACACTTTCACAGCGTACATAGTATACATTATGAACATAGTGAACATGTCCCACATAGTGCATATAGTGTGCATAGCGAACAAATGCAATAGTTAATATAGCGAACATAGTCATTATGTATTTACTAATAGTGTAGAAACTATAGATGCGATGCTTTCTGCATCCACAATAAAGTAGTTCTGAAAGAACTCGACAAGAATTCAGTACTCTAAATCTAGTGTTTTCTCCATTAATTATCCCACCCGCATAAATCAATTGCACATAAAGTCTAATCCTGTAATAAAAAATTAACTCATAACTTACTATAATGTATTTTTAAATTTCTAAATAAATAAATAAATACAATTTAAGTTGATTATTTGTGAAAAATATTCATTATTTACTTTCTTAAATTGTTTAGTATACAGTACAATAAAGATCAGAAAGAGAGCATTAGGGTTAGTGATAGGGTAAGAGTAGGGCTTTAAAAAGCAACTATATTAAAATTTCGCAAGGAATTTTTTTTGCTATGTAGAACGCAGAAGTTAGTTTCATAAGCGAAATTTCGAGATAAAAAGAATTAACCAATAAAAAAAAAAAATACCAAAGAATGAATAACGAGCGACGATATCAACGATGCTCTTTTTCTTTTTTTTTTTAGAAAAAAAAAGCAACGTAAGCTAAATTTGTTAAGGGTGTTTTATAACCAGCGTCTAAACGACGTTTTAATTAAAGTTGGTGAAATAAAATTGAAGCGGTGAAATAATTTCACCATTGAATTGGTAAAATTGGTGAAATTAATTTCATCAGCATCACTAGTTGTAACTTATCCTTTAGCCAAAAAAAAAAAAGAAAAAAAAACATTAAGAGCGAAAAACGACGCCAACGTCGATGACTAGGCAAAAAGTAATAATTGAGTAAATGCGAGCAAAAAAAAAATATAATTATTAATTAAGAAAAATTTAAATATGCTTCCCGAATAATGTAAATAACGTAATGAAAAAAGATAAAAAAAATAACAAACTGAATCAACGACATACGTCCCGAAGAACCAAACCCGAGCTTCATAACAAACGTAGACATTTCAAATGACTACACTCTTGCCCTCGATCGTCGAAACGAATCTCAGAACATATCTTACAGTTAATTCCTGCGAGCCAGTTTCATGTCTAGACACCCGTATTCGTCAATTCAAATATTAACGTTTATTATTTCCACTTTGGCCTATATAGACTACGAAAACGAATATTTATAAAGGATGACATTAAAAGAACACTACGTCACTGTAAAAAATGAAAAAAGCAAAAGAAATACAAAACAAAAAAAAAACACCGAAAAGAGAATGACGACACCAATGACGGTTTTTTTTTTAAAATTAAAAGACTTGAATGTTTAAAAGGAATACGTCATACGTTCAAAAAAACGATCTACTTAAATCGTGTAAACAAAAAAATTGATTGGTTAATCACAAGTGGTACACGATTAGTGTTGTACGTAAGCCGAATGGTTTAATCGGCTGGCTAAGCCACCAAAATACCGACTAAGCGGCTGGCTAACGGCTTACCTTACGGAATCTTTCGGGACTTTCACAAAGGTTTTAACAGGACCCTTGAAACTTAGATGTTCCCGTCATGTATACTAGGTAAAGTTCATATAGAAAATTTTCTGATGTTACCGGCTAAGGCATAGGTAAAGTTATTAGTAGAGGAATGAAAATCTTACCAAAAAAGGAAATTTCGTACAAAAATATGCACACTCGTGTGATTTGGTTTCCTTTTACAGGGTGTCTAAAGCGGGCAAAAGTTTCATTTTTGATAGATCTGCGGTTACTTTTTTGATAGGCGCAGATCATACCCTAAATTTAGATAGCGTTCTTGATGCATCATATCCCATAGAATTTAAAATTTTTCAAGAATTTGAGTAAAGATATCTAGATGGTCGCCCAACCTAATTCAATAAATTTTTTTTATTTTGATTCGACTATTCTGTAGAATCAAAATAAAAAAAAATTCATCGAATTTGGCTAGGTGGTTACTGAGATATCTTCAAAGTTTTAACATCAAAACGTCTATCAAAATAATGACTGCGGTAAAATTTTTATAAAACTTTGAGTGAAGATATCTTAATAACTACCTAATCAAATTCGATGAATTTTTTTTTTTATTTTGGTTCTACAGTTCTGTAGAATCAAAATAAAAAAAAAAATTATCAAATTTGGCTGGGTGGTTGTTGAGATATCATCGCTCTAAGTTTTGAAAACATTAAAAATTATGGCTGTGGCAAAATTTTTATAAAATTTGAGCGAAGATATCTTAGTAACTACCTAATCAAATTCGATGAAGTTTTTTTGTTTTGGTTCTACAGTTCTGTAGAATCAAAATAAAAAAGAATTCATCGAATTTGACTAGATGGTTGTTGAGATATCATCGCTCAAAGTTTTGAAAACATTAAAACGTCTATCAAAATGATGGTCGCGACAAAATTTGTATAAAACTTTGAGTGAAATTATCTCAGCAACCACCTAGCCAAATTCGATGAATTTTTTTTTATTTTGGTTAAAGGATAAGTTACAACTAGTGATGCTGATGAAATTAATTTCACCAATTTTACCAATTCAATGGTGAAATTATTTC